CCTCTGCCATGTGTCTGTCCACCCATAAGAAACGAGACTGAAACCCCCCAGAGCTGCGTGTTTGTTTCTTTTGGTGGCTTTTTGCACTAGAGATGGTCTCGGTTTAGATTGTTTTGAGAGAATGTTTCAGTGAACCATGTGCCAATGTGTGTGTTTCCTCCAAACACTGGAACCAACTTCACCCACAGAAATCCCGCCCTCGCGCTCATTGTGACCCAGTGCTGTGATGTGCCAGTGGTTTTGCATGCACATTTGGAAATAAAAACAAACTTAAAGCTGAAGTCTAAAGGCTGCCTGAGCACAGTCGGACAATCCACGCCCTCACTTAGCTCAGGAAAGATCTGAGCCATATACAAACATATAATTTACGTGGGTGAGCAAGTAAATAACTAGGCTAGACATGGAACCAGCAGTGCTAGGTAGTCGACTGAAACTGCATGACTTAATGAGCTTAAGAACCAATGCTTGGATTCACTTGTCATAACTAAGGAAGGAGACTGCTGCCAATAAGGCTGATCTCCAATTACAGGAGCCAGCAGGGTTGTTGCACCCAGGCACAGCTTCAGTTAGTCAGGAATCAGGAAGGCACTAGTTGGTCCTTAGCCACCAGAACAGCCCAGCAAGTCCTGCTGCAGCTCTGATCTCAGCATTGCTTTGATGCACAGAGATGCTGTTAGCATCAGCAGTGTGGCCAGGTGCTGGGGCCCAGTGGCTATAGACGCATATGCTCCTGGTGTGTTTTGCTGTAGAAAATCCTGTGCTCTCATAGTGAGTCACTGTCAGGGCAGCCTCTGCTGCAAATGTGTTTCTGTGGAGGAGGGTCCTACGCCATGGAGTGGGCCAGGGAGCTCTCACTGTTCCTGTAGGCCAATGTGCCTGCCTCCATGGAAGCAGCTGCTAAGGCTGTAGTTTCAGAGTCAGGAATGGAGTCCATTGCACCTGGCCCAGGGCTGCTTCCTCTTTCTCTCTGTAAAGGGGCAGGCTGGTGAGAGAGGTCTCCATCCAGACCCGAGGCAGGACAAGTTCTCTGGCCAGACAGGGCTGGCAAGATTCTTGCCCAGAGGCACAGCCTGTCTGCCCATTTGCTAGAAGCGCTCTGCTCACAGTTCTCTGATGGCCAGATATGCTTCTCTTCTGCATCTCTAGCAAAAACACTTTAAAGGAGTCAGTTGACCAGAAGACAAGAGTGCTCCCCTCCATCCACCCAGCCTCCCTCATCCCTGGAAGTGACCCGATGTCAGCTGGAGGGGTGCCAAGTTAAGCAACTGTGTGTGTGAATGGAATGTGGTTCTGTGCTGTGCTCTGCCCTCTGCCACTGCCCGGTTCAGATCTGGGCGTGCCAGCAGCACTAAATCTCCCTTGGCAAGTGCCAACACCAAAGGAACATACTGATTTATGGCTCCTTTAAGTAAGAGAAGCAGAGTGGAAAACGAGAGCATTTTCTGGATGAAAAATTAAAGGGATACTTTTGTTAGTTCCTCATTCTGGGCTCATGTGTAATTCGCTGTATTGGTTTTCAAGTTCCGCTTGAGAGGAAACAAGCCTGAAACCAAAGTCAAAGCAACAGGCTGCAAAATTGCCAGCACGCTTCAGTTTCTATTCGGAGGTGTCTGCACCAAAAGGAAACAGAAAAACAGAGCAAGGAATTTGCTGGAAGAATGGTCCCTGGCTTCCCCTCACCTCAGGACCTTAACACCTTTTATGGACATTAATTAATTGACCCTGGCTATTTCTACACTACTTTCCATTTTAAAGATGAATAAAGCAGGGCACAGGTCATACAGAGGCAGAGCTGGGAGCAGAACCCAGGAGTCCTGGTACCTGGAGTTGTGACTGCCTAGCTCAAAGGGAGAATGCTGCACTGTAATAAACCCAGAGCAAGAATGTGAGAGACCGGTCTGTGATGAACCTGGGAATTCTCCAAAGGACTTCAAAATGGGGCTTCCAGACACCTACCCCAGGATGCTACAGAGTTCAAGAGTCTAGTGTTGGTCTCTCCTCTGCTCACGATGAGGATGGGAGTGCCCATCTACCAGCAGCCTGCTCAAATCCATTTTCTTACAACTCTCACCATGGGAAACAGACTTATCCGCTTATTGATTTGGGCCATTTGGGATTAATTTAGCTGAATCTCTCTGCAGCCTTTGGAGACAGAACAGAATATACAGGTTTGATTGACTGCCTGAGGACTCTTCCCCAGCTCTGCCTGGCGTTGGTGCCTGCTTTCACTTTAACAGCTTCCTGGGGTTGTTTCTTGGGGGGCAATTCTCACCTGACCCAAGATGCACTTGGTGGCGATCCCAACACTTGGTCTTGGCCCACATGTTCCTTTGCTGGCTCTGCCAGGTCATTCTGCAGTGGGTCCTCACTGTCCTAAGGCCCAGGAGCAGAGATGAACCCGTCTAGGATTTCTAATGTTTCCTATTCTAAGAGGCTTCCACTACCCCCTTGTGCCTTTTGGGAACAACCTTTTTTTCTATCAAATCCTTTCTGTGAGAGGATTAAAAACAACTGGATCTAGCAGTGCAAGCTTTGCAGCATCAGATCTGAGAACATCTGTCCAGTCCATTGTGGCCAGTACCTTGTGCTCCAGAGCACTTGCTGGCCATCGCATCCTTTCTGGCTTGTTTCTAGCTGCTCGCTTGTGTGCCTGGCTTGCTTTGATCCACCAGCAATTCCCTACCATTACTTCCCCACACCAGCAACTGCTGCAGTTGGCACCAAGGCTTTAGTTTAGCAGCAGGCTGACGGAAGCAGTTCAAACAACTGCAAAGGGAAAGGGAAATGGCCAAGAAACATGCTTCTTGCTGCTGCAAGACTGGAGGCCTCCCTGACACAGAGCCAGGCAGGGGCGAGACCAACTGACCATGCAGCACTGGCCAGAGACAAATGTCCCTCCTGGGCTCAGTAGCTGAGAAAACCAGGCAACTGCACGTTCAACCCAAAGGGAAAGTGATGGCTGGTCTTGATGGGGCTAACTGTCCTGACTTTCCAGAAGAAACCTGACAATGCCACTGGTTGATGTCATCAGGGAACTCCAGCTTTGGCTGTGGTTGGTAATTCTGGGGAATATGATGCTTTTAAAAGCTGCCCACCTCTGCAATTCTGCACCGTGAGAGCAGGCCCCTTCCTAAGCCCTGCAGTGCACTGTTTCATCATACTTCCTACCCTAACCTGCGCATAATTGTTCTGGATCTGAAGCTGCCCTGCTCATCCCCCATAAGCAAAGTGATGGCATGACTTGTCAGGGTGTAGCTGATTGACTGAACTGACATCAGCAGCGAGCACATGGCAGCACAGCGGTTAAAGTAATAGACCGAGCAAGTAATAATGGAATGGCTCAGGCTGCTGACTGGCAGGAGACATGGTTGGGCTTAACAGGGGCCCCAGCGCACCCTAAACATAATGAAAAACGGCTTTGCCGCTGACGACCTGACATTTTAATACAAATTTCAACAGCGTGTAAAGCACCTTAATTTCCACGTAACGGCCTCCTTAATAAAGCTCTGCCCACAACAGATATTTATGACTAATGGGACGCTGACTGCTATAAATAATCCCAAGGGATCAGCTAAGGATACCTCTCCCCTTTCCTGCTAGCAGTTGCATCATCTTGCTGAGTTCACAGCAAGGCAGAGCTGCCATCGCATCCCCTCTCAGCTTCCCTGGTTCTCTGGAGCTAGCCCTTTCCCTGGAAGCTGCTCCCAGAGCGCCTAAAGCAGGCAAGCTAGACAGTTCTCTACCTCCCTAAAACGCACATTATTACAAATGACCGCCCCCCAGCACTTGGATTACTTGCTACCCACATAAATACATCACTACTGAAATGCAGCCACCTGTGGGGCCAGGCCAGCAGCCAGTAGAGCCCCAGAAAGCAGTACAACAGCACTGCCTGCCAGCTGTGCAAGTTGGGCTCTGCTAGGAGCTGGAACAGATGAACTTCAATCTGCCACCAGCTCCCCAGAGGAGGGAACCTTTGCCAAGCTGGTCAGTTGGAGGGCAGTCGCCAAATATCATGTACTCAAAGGCAAATGCTTGGACACCTGCCTCTGCTGAAAGGTGGAAAAAGGAGTAATGTGTCCTGGGCAGGGAGCACAAAGGAGCTAGGAACCAGGTGAGAGCCAGCCTGCCTTGCCCATGGAAGGCATGTAGGCCCTGCGTTAAAGAACGCTGTGAAGTTATGCTGGGGTTTAAGGCAAATGCTAGACTCCAGCTCTATAGGACACAGTATCCTCCTTTCCATAGGAGACCTGAAGCAGCACTTCTCTGGGCAGGGCTGAATCATGTGGGCCTGAGCCTGCTGCAGTCTTCAGGCCTCTGGTAACACCAGCAGCCTGCAGAAGGTAAGTTCACAAGTTCCTAGTGTGTGCAGCTACAAAGCCCCACTTGGCCTTGGGAGGCAGAAACCATCACCCCAACCTGACATGATACAGAGATTTGCCCAAAACATGCAGCAGTGGCCAAAGACCTAGAAATAACCTGGAAGTCTTAAGGCCCAGTACCCTGTATAGCCCCTTGTACATTTCTCCACATCTCCAGGTGATTTCCTTTCCAATCTGAGGGACCTGCTTAACTCACTCCTTGAGAACAGTCAAGTGCTTCTGGGATCACTTTTAAGTCCCACCTAGACTGGAAACAACCTCTTTCCATCCCTACCATGTCCCTTCCACCCCCTTTGGGAATGCTGGTGCTCTACCTTCATTCAACGGTTGCTCTGTCATCTCCTTTCTAGCCAGGGGCTGTAAAGCACCTTGCAGCACTTGTTACTGGAGTCTCAGGTCTTCTGGCAACAGTGCTCCCTCTGCTGGCTCTAGAACAGAGCACAAGCCAAGCTACATCAGCCCTTCAGCCAGGCTGCTCAGTCACCAGGCAATTTTAAAGTGAGACAGACCTGGGACCTGAACAGATCGGGATTCTCACTTCAGTGTTTGCTGAATTTCAGTACAGACAACCCCACCAAGCAGCTCTCAAGGATGATGGGAGGAAGCCAGGGTTGGCACTTTGGTCTTCAAGATGAATTTTTATTGGGGTGAAGGAACACCAGCCCTCAGTATTCCAGAATTGCACACAGAAGGCATAGACAGGACAAGGACCTAGTTTAGCCTTCAGTCTCCATGTCAGTGCAGAAGAGAGTTGGCCCTTTCCTGTCACTTTAATATAGTCTTCGCATAGATTATTGGTGAATTGCATTGTTCAGAACTCTGTCACCAGCACTGACAAGCAGCAGCATTTAAGGGCAGGCCAGGAAAACAGGTTAAACCTGCAGTGTTCTAGCATCCCAATGTGAATCCAAATTTCTTTGAAGGTGAGAAGCTGGCAGACGTCACGGTGCATGAACTTGCACACTCTGTTTTCAGGGAATGATGCTGCATGAGAGTTGATCGTCCACCCATTTTGGAGGTGAAGGTTCCGGGCAGTACCTACACAAAACAAAACATGAGAATGTGAAAACTGCCATTTACTGGGTCAGACCGTAGTCCATCTCACCCAGTCTCCTGTGTCACATAGTGGATGATGAAAGGGGAATGAACAGAGCATGATTAGAGTTTTTCCCTTCTTCCTCTCACACTTGCAACCTCCAACATTTAAGGTCCAGGAAGTTCAGAAAGAACTGGCACTCTGTTGGATGCAAAGCTACAGGTGCAAGATTGCCATATGGTACAAAGACAATGACATCTGCTGCACTGGAGGAGTTTCCACAGAGTTAATAATCTCTGCTGCAGCTTAGTCACGTTACATGTGGGGGAAGCATGTAAGTCCCTGTGAAATAACTAGGCCTCCCTCTGGTTCTGGTAGAAAAGTGCCCTACCACCCAAGCCACCACCCCCACACAACCCTTATCCTGCCCCTTGTCAGGCTGACCAGGCAGACACCTGTCACTCACTCTTAAGTCGCCAGCTTCACCTGCTCGGCGCACAGTAGGAACTGGTTGACGTGTTCAGTGCAGTTCACCACAGCCGCCTGGTTCTCCGCCAGGCACTGCTCGAAGGCTGTGAAGGACTCCGCACACTCGTGGCGGATCTTCCTCACGATTGGGCTGCAATAGACCGTGCCCCTGCGCTGAGCTCTGCCCCGAGGCCTGGCTGCAGAACCCCCGCAGCCAACCAGAGCGAGCACTGGAGGCAGCCCAGCCTGGCGGTGCCAGCCACCAGTCTGGGCTCGATGCTCAGCTCTGCCACAAGCTGGCTTGTGCAGCCCAGGGGCAAATCACGTGCTGCCCCTGTGCCCCCCCGTCTCCCCCATTGTCTGAAAAACAGCACTTCCATCCCCCACCCTGACATCAGCTCTGGTGCAGTGATCACTGGGGAAGGACGGGGCAGGACAGCAGGGATGTCACTGTGGGCTCCCTGCATTCATTGCAGGCCGGAGGGATGACACGCTGGGAAGAGGAGTGGGGGAGGTGCATTAACACCTCTCAGCAAGTTCCTTGGACCCTAAAGCATTGCTGTGAGGGGCTGGACTGTCTGCCTACCCCTGCGCGCGCGCCTCACCTCCATGTGTGCACACACGTACGTTGCATGCAAGCCACGCACTCACACCGCTCCAGTGCCCTGACGTGCACCTGCGTCCATGCACGCGCGCTCTCACACCCATGCCCCCACACGTGCACGCACACACTTCCGTGGCCACACGTGAGCGCGCCCGCGCCCCACTCCCGCACCCGTGAGCACGCAGGCACGCACGTCCAGGCAGGCCCGTGCACGCGTCCCCCGGGGCTCACTGGGCGGCGGCGCACCGCGCCATGTCGCGCCGGAGGTCGCTGCAGTCCTGCTGCCATGAGGCGGGGCGCGCGGCCACGCACTGCCCGTACAGGTCCATCTCGCGCCCGCAGTACCGCGCCGCCACCTCCAGCGCCGCCGCCCTGCGGGGAAACAGGGAGCATGGGCTGGGGTCCGCATGGGCTGGCCCCGCCCCGCATCGCGCCCCTGTCCCGCGCTCACATGCCGCCCGTCCCTGCGACAGCCGCGAGCCCGACAGGCGGAAGCGACGCAGGGCGCATGCGCCCTGCTGCATCACCATGGTAGCGGAGGCAGGCCACGCCGGCGTCGCCCCTGGTGTCATGGCGGCAGCTTCCTGCGTATGCGCGGTTGGGAAAGAGGTATCGCTCCGGGGCCGGAAGCGGAAATGCGCTGCAGCCTGGCTTTCTGTCGCAAGATGGTGGCTGCAGGCCCCACACTCCCGGAAGCGGAAGCAGACGCAGACGGTTTGTAGGCGGGCTCCCGGAAGATGGCGGCCGCCCGCCCGGCTCCGGGGCCCATGGATGAGCTGGTATCGGCGGTGACCCTGTACCGGCGGCGGCCGCGGCTCCTGCACGGCACCGTCCTGCCCTTCGTGGCGGGGCTGTACCCGGCCTGGCTCTGGCTGTGGGGGCCGCGCGTCTGGGCCGCCTGGGCCGAGGCAGGGGAACCCAGCGCGGGGGAGCCTGAGGCAGAGCGCGCCCCGCCCGAGGCCGCGCTGCTCGCGCTCGCCGCCATCGGGGTCGCGCACCTGCTCACCGCGCTCTCGGGGCTCTGGTCCGTGCACGCGCACTGCGCGCTCACCTGCGTCAGGGTACGTCACGGATTCGCCGCGTGGGGGAGGGTCAGGGGTCACCTTAACCGGGTCAAAGGTCGCCACGTGGGAGATTTCCTTCCCAGTCCCTCCCCCCTTGCAGCGCCCTCTGATGGGTCCTGGCCGGGGGCTGGCGGCAGATCTCTTCCAGGGCAGCCCCCAACGGGGGTTACATCCCCAAGCCCCCGGGCCACTGCTGCCTGGGGCCGTGCGGTCTGGGGGCTCATGCAGGCACCACAGGCGTCACCACCCAGCCAGCAGCTGCCCCAAGCCTTTGCCCTGGTGTCTTCCTTCCAGTCGTTCTCCCCTCCCCACTCCCAGGGGAAGGGAAGCCACCTGCAAAGTAGGGCTGGTGGCTCAGCAACGGGCATCGTGTCCTTCCTCTGTCAGTGCCGCCACGTGGCAGCAGTCTCTTTGCTGTGCAGAGCTTGGCCAAGGGTTTGGAGCAGGAAGCAGAACGGAGGGAAGGGCAGGGATGGAGCAAGGGGCCTCCAGCCCAGGGATGGGTTGAAGGGAGAGGTAAGCAGCTGAGCAGGCCAGACCCAGAGGCCCTGTGTGACAACTGTGTTGTCTGGGTTTGCCCTGCTGGCAGGTGCCGCAGGACTGAGAAGCCCTGGTTGCAAGTTAACCACTTGTTGGTGGCGGTGCTGACTGGTTTGCCTCTTTTTTGGTTGTTCCTTTAACTGTCTCCTTAGCTTTGTCTGAGAGAGAGTTATACATCCTCTAATGTAAATCATCTTGGCAGAAATGATCTTGTTTGCCTTGGTTAGCCAGGCTCTGAAATAGTTGGTGTTGCTGTGCAGCAGTCGCAGCTAGCTTGGCATTTATTTTGATTGAGAAGTCCCCCAGACAAGGGAGCCCCTCAAACTGGCGGCCAAAACTGTGAGCTTGGCTCCTTGCATTTTTTTCCCAATGTCCTGACAGTGTTCCTGATTTGGCAGCTTGTGAGAGCCTTGGACTGCAAGCCATGATTGTTCATAGCCCTTGGTCTCTGTACATGGAATGGAATAGATTTATCTTTATTATTAACTGTAAAATTTGAAGCCTTGAGCTGAAGGAGTTGAAAGTGGCAAATGGCAAGGGAGTGGGGAGGTTGATCTTGTGCCACAGAATAAAGATAGGATGAAAATGAGCAACAGAAAAATTAAGACCGATTGGGGAAAATGCTCTGACATCTGTCAGGCTGCAGAGTATTTCCATCGAGGTTGGAATTGAAGTGATATCATTTGAGATAAAGCCTTAAAGAAGATGATGTTGGGAACATTTCTGCTTCAATGCAGGGCATAGGGCAAGATGAGTTCAAAGAGGCACATTCACATTTTATTTCTGTGCCCATCCAGGCTGCAGCAGCAATGCTCAGGAAGGGTGAAGATTCCTCTGCCCTCTGTGCTTTGCGTTTGGGCTGTTCTGGATGTTTTTGTTAGATTGTTAGATGGTGGGGCAGTGGCAGATCAAATGACCTAAGCTCTGGGGTGACTGATGTGCTTAGTCAGGAGGAAGGTTAAGTTGTTTGATTCTCTCTCTTCCCTTTTCCTTTTTTAAGACAAAAAAAACCCCTCCCTTTTTCCTCAAAAGCTGCTGGCACCTGTCAAGTTGTCTGTAGGCTCCTCTCCACTGGTTTCACTGGTGTGAGTGGACTTTCACAGCCACATATATGTGCAGAATATTAATCCCGTGACCTTTGGTCAGTGTGTCTAAGACACGGCAGGGCAAAGCCTGATGATAGTTCCGTGATTGGAAACAATGTTTTCATTTCTGATTTTGACAATCTGAAGCTCCCTGTCTTGTGGGAAGTAGCACCTTGGCGTCATTACATGTCAGCTTCTGTTTATACTTTTTTGTTGTACCTATTCTCTTTTAAGCCATTCTTCTAAGCAGCTGCACCCTCCTTTCTCACAGCAGTATGGTTAAGAACTGTTCTATTCACACCCATCCCAGTGTCACTATACCTTGGCCCAGACAAGTACAGGCTTTACTATAACAGCAGAAACTGCACATTGGTTCCATTGGGTACTATCTATTCCACTTGCTTGACCCGGAAGACCAAGGCAGCATGGTTTCCAGCAGCATCTTCCCCAGTGATTTATCTAGTTCTGGCCACAGGGGTTTCCATCACTCCCCTTGGAGAGCTGTTCTGTTACCTAATAAATCCCAAGCATCAGGAAGACTTCCTGATGGTGCCTGCCTAATACCTGTAGGAAGCAGAAGATGCCAGTCTGTTCCTGCCCCCCTCCTCCCAGCCTGGAGTCAGTCCCTTCTCTGCTTTGTGTGAAAATAAAACACCCACATTTTGAACAGGAAATCTGTTAACAAAAAAATATTTAAAATAGACCAGACTTGTGAATAGTTTGAATTCAGTGCAGGCTCTTCTTGGCTTCCCATGAAGAATTTGTAGCACTTCCCCTAGTGATTCAGGTTGCAGGATCTCTAAGCTACCAGACAAGCCCTGCGTGTATGTTACTCTAGCTTGGTAAGCCTTGAGTGGAAGGGAGAGCACTGACACATGACTGTGGCTCTTGCCTTTTCAAAATGATGATATGTGTTCTCTGAGAATGGGTTCTGGGTTTCAGGTGGTAAGTGTCCCTTGTGTCTTGGGCACACTTTGTTTCAGGAACAAGCTGTCACTTAGTGGCACCAAAGGATCCCTGGTTTGAACTATGTGGATGTCTCCATCTCAGTCGCAGAGTCCACGCAGCAACAGTGTTGTGCAAAGTCACGGCTGCTCCCTGTTGTGAAGGGCCTACCTTCCTAGCAACTTAACAATGCCTGTTTGAGATTTAAGAGATGGGTCCTGGTGCACCCTGGATCCTAAAGGGATCTCTTCTGGCTGCCATGAGCCCCAGCGTGCTTGATCTGCTTTACAGAGCATGCGCCTGTTTTGTGTCTTTCAGGAACCCAGTCCTAAGAAAGCCACATTGGCTAAAGTTGTGCCAACTCCAAATAATGGATCTGCTGAGCTGGTGCCACTCCACCGTGACCAGGTAAGGGCTTGGCTTTTATAAGCAAAGGCGGGGTCTACCGGCTGCAGGGGAGCTGCTGTTTCCAGTCATATGTGAAGATCTGCAGCCTGCATTACCAGAGCCATTAGCTGCCACTAGCCTAATTTGAAACACTGTGGCTGGATGAAAACTATTTGGTATCAGTCACAGGTGGGGGTAGGACAAGGCCTTAGAGCATGGGTGGGAAATTATTTCAGCTGGAGGGCCACTTAATGAGTTTTGGAAAGCTGTCAGGGCTGCAAGCATTTCCACCCCCGGATGTGGGCATGTGGTAGAAGGTGTGGGTGTGGGGTGTATGGGAGGATGTGGTGGTGTGTGTATGGATATAGTGGGGTATGCATGTGGGAGCCCCCCCTCACATGCCCCGTCCCATAGTACGCAGCCTCCAGTGGTGGTGGCGGCGGCAGCAGCAGGCAGTGAGCCCTCAGGGCGCTTATGGACAGCACTTGTGGCCCCCCGGCAGTATGTAGCTCCAGCCAGTTCTGGGAACAGGGCCAAGCCAGCCCAACTTCATTATGCAGAGTTCCCCATGTCTCGCATGCAACTCCTGGGACCTGGCCTGAGCCACATGCCGTGGCAGGGGGAGACCCATGCAATGGAGTTGGTGGCCTGGCCTCTCTTCCTGCCACCATGTATGGCTCCCAAGACTGTTCCAGGGAGTGGAGCCGAGCTGGCCTGTCTCCATCGTGCAAATCTCCCCACCACTTTCAGCAGAATACTGGGAGCTGCATGTGGTGGCAGGTAGTGGGGAAGGTCACTGGCTCTTTTGTGCAGGGCTTTTCCCCCAGTGGCAGGTAAGTCCTGTGAGCTGCACATGACCCATGGGGAGTCCCACGCAATGGAACTGGGCCAGTCCAGACTCCACACACCTGCCAGCCTAATGCTCTGTGTGCCCACCCAGCTGTAGCTTCCCCCTACCTGCCCCCGCTTTCCTTCCTGCTGCCTGGAGTGCTGCAGCCGGAATAAGAGGAGGAGCCACTGGAGGGGTGAGGGAGCTGAGCTGTGTGCTGGCAGAGTGCAGCAGGGACAGCTGTGGTCTGGGCTGGATACCATTAATTGGTGAGCGCCTGCCTGTGGGCCGAATAAAATCATCTAGTGGGTCATATTTTACCCACCCCTGCCTTGGAGAATGGAATTAACACCTGCATCCCAGATGATGGTGTTTAGGAACTAGACCTGTGATTGGCCAGTGAGTCCTGTCTGTCTAGCCCTCCTGGCTATGCAGACGGTTCCCTGCAGGTTGTGTGGTGATGTAGCCCTGTTGTGAGGGCCCTTGGGTGAAAGTCTTGTTGCTCTTCCCTGTTGTGTAATCTGTGCAGGGGGAGGATGGGCAGGAGGCCCTGTCCTTCGAGTTTCAGAAGATCAAGTACTCATATGAGATAGAGGACAGGAAACAGTTTCTTCCTGTCGCCTTCCCTGTGGAGCATCCCCTGTCCTATTACCAGAATGCCCGAGGCTACCAGGAGGACAAGGATATCCGAGC